AGCAATAAACCTATTCATGGATTATGAAGCAATAAACCTATTCTTGGATTAGGGAGCAATAAACCTATTCATTGATTAGGGAGCAATAAACATATTCATGGATTAGGGAGCAGTAAACTTACTATTCATGGATTAGGGAGCAATAAACCTATTCATGGATTATGAAGCAATAAACCTATTCTTGGATTAGGGAGCAATAAACCTATTCATTGATTAGGGAGCAATAAACCTATTCATGGATTAGGGAGCAGTAAACTTACTATTCATGGATTATGAAGCAATAAACCTATTCATGGATTATGAAGCAATAAACCTATTCTTGGATTAGGGAGCAATAAACCTATTCATTGATTAGGGAGCAATAAACCTATTCATGGATTAGGGAGCAGTAAACCTACTATTCATGGATTAGGGAGCAATAAACCTATTCATGGATTAGGGAGCAGTAAACTTAGTCATGGATTTGGGAGCAGTAAACCTATTCATAACTTAGGGAGCAATAAATCATATTCATAGATTAGGGAGCAATAAACCAAATTCATAGATTATGGAGCAATAACCCAATTCATAAATTAGGGAGCAATAAGTTTGAACCTATTCCAGGTTTGTGAAGCAGAAATAAACAGTTTTTATATTAAAGTCATAGGTTTATAAAAATATATCACACATAAAAAACAGTAAAACAGTAAAACAGTAAAACAGTGAGTTAAATTGTAATATATTTTAAAGCCAAATTTAACAAATAGCGAAGCCATAAACAAAGTGTGAAGATTCCAAATGGATAAAAGGGGGGGGGGGTTTAGCAATTAAACAAACTAGCAAATAGCATGTCATTATCTGAACGACGGAGATACTGCATCGTGCAGAAATGTTGCAATCCTCCCGGGTATAATTAAACTGATTGTGGAATATGAAAAACATGCTCATCTTGACTTTTTAACCATCAATCATGAAGTTGCAGTTTCTAATCTTAATAGCATATTATCTGGCATCAGTTCAGGATACGGGGGGGGTGCATGAATGCAAATTATGAAAATGTTAAAGTTGTATATAAAGATGATTGCCTGAGACACTCGAACATATTGCTGGCGCTCTTTGTGTCGACATGAACCTGGTCGAATCTCTTGGCCAGCTCCTTCTCGTCCTCGATTCGAACCATCTCGAAGAAATCAAGATGGCGGTTTAAGGTTTCGTTCTCATGATGCTTCAACTTCTCGATGACGGGTTGAATACCGAGCATAAGGAACTCGAACCTGAGATGCAATCTAAACTCAAGATTCTCTGTTCCTGCTCCATAGTTGAGAACTGCGTTCACAAAAGACATGATGGTGGTCTGCAACAGAAAATGCGCAATAAAAAGAGAAAAACTTTCGAAAAAAGGTCTTTTTGTCCCGTATTTCTCCGCCCCAACCCACCACCCTGCAAATCCATTATTTGTTATTTTCACCCTCCTCCTCCCTCCCTCCGGCCCATATCGTTTCCACCCATCTTTTTTAGTATGCTGAGCATGAAATTTGAATAATGCGTATATTTTCTTTTAGAATTCCTTGGTTTAATCTTGTTCTAAAAAGATTTATAGAACCCTGATTAGAGTATTCAGACCTTGTCATATTGATACCAGGCTAGGTTGGGTCAATAGGTAAACTGATATCCTTCCCTACTCCAGACAATACCCAGAGAATCGTTCACACAACCCCCAAAATTTAAAGAGTTTTTACTCACATTTTTAAAGGGAAATCTCGGATTTAAATAGATAGATGGAAAGGGTAGAATATATTTATTTTTTACTAAAACCACCAAAAAACCCTATTTCAATAGCGAAAGACCGATCAAGAAGTTCAACAAAAAAGGACTAAAATAAGGGTTGATTTTTCTAAAACCTACCTTGAGACTAACATCATCTCTATATTTGCCAGTACTCCTGTCTAGATCATTGATAATGCCCTGAAATCTAGTTCTTTCACTGCTATACTCCTGGTAGTGTACCATCCCATCCAGTACTCGTCTAGATAGATAGATAGATAGATAGATAGATAGATAGATAGATAGATAGATAAAAAGATAGATAGATAGATAGATAGATAGATAGAAAGATAGATAGATAGATAGATAGATAAAAAGATAGATGGTAATGGTGTGATTATTAAAACTTACTTGTGCCCTCCTGGAACGAGACACATTGCTCCAAGGATCTCTAGAACTGCAATCCTTGTTTTAACATTCTCCGAGCTCAGACTTTGTGTGATTATATTTACTCCAGTTGGGTGTGCTAATACATGGGCCCTCCCACTCTAAAAAAGAAGACATTCGTAAAATAATTAATTAACTTTTTTCTCGAAATTCCAACACCAGTTAATCTAAACTATTGATTAAATATTGATGAATTAGACACTCAATTCTTTCATTCATTCATTCATTCATTCATGCATCCTTCCTTCCTTCCTCCTCATTCATTGGTAACTATAGTATTCATTATTTTAATAATTCGTTTTTTCATTTATAGATTATGAATTTTTAATTTAAGATGAATTTATCATTATTCCAATATCATTCGAACAATCTTATCTCAGCGCTGTAAGGAATAAGCACCCGGAGAAAGGGCAAAATAAAATCAGGATCCGTCCCGACTCTGGGTGCTAGATTAACCTCATAAGCTGAGATATTTGCGTTGAACCTGAGAAATTATTCTGGTTGAAATATCCCATGAAGCTTGACCAGGGAACAGTTATGGGAATAATCTTCTAATTGTTTGGTTTCTTGGTTTGTTTGTTGTTTAATCAAAATAATTTGTTATGTTGCATGCAGGAAATCCATCAAAGTAAAATTTCATTTTTTCAAAATAGAAAAATACAATGTAAGTGCATTAAAGACGATTAAATCTATTTTCTAAATTATAAATTAAAAGTTGCGATTATTTTCTTAAACAAATAACGGGATATGTATAATGGATAGTGTGGATAAAACCGCAAACCAGTGTTAGCAAACAGTAGCTGTGTAACACACGACCATAGTTTATTAACGTTAGTTCTAGCACACGACTATAGTTTAATAACGTAAGTTCTAGCACACGACCATAGTTTACTAACGTTAGTTCTAGCACACGACCATAGATCACTAACGTTAGTTCTAGCACACGACCATAGTTTACATAACGTTAGTTCTAGCACACGACCGTAGTTTACTAACGCTAGTTCTAGCACACGACCATAGTTTTCGAACGTTAGTTCTAGCGCACGGCCATAGTTTATTAACGTTAGTTCTATCACACGACCATAGTTAACTAACGTTAGTTCAAGCACACGACCATGTTTACTAACGTTAGTTCTAGCACGACCATAGTTTACTAACGTTAGTTCTAGGACACGGCCATAGTTATAGCACACGACCATAGTATACTAACTAATTTTAAATAAAGGAAGAATAAGAGAACAAATGGTTGAAAAGGATGAAAAAGGAATTAATTGAAAAAAATTATCATAAAAAGGTTTAACATTTTTCCATTAAACTAACCGTGTTATTCATTAAAGCTTTCATACAGCCTAGAGCTGCTGTGTGTATACTAGACTGAGCAGTATCCCAATCCATCCCTGCTAGTAGATCCAACAGGCAGTTTAAGCCATTCTCCTTAAATACAAGAATATTAGAACCAAAATATTTGTGGACATTTTTGTAAATTTTATTTTGAATAGTTTTTCGAAAATACATATTTTGGTCTGGTATGAGCTCCTTCATCTTGAAGGTTGTTTATGAAGATTTATAACCACGAAAACTAAAACATGATAAAGATGGAGGAATAATCTAAATAAGAAGGATAAAGAAAGGATGAGGTTGGTTAGGAATCGATCAGATTGTGAAGTTAATTCTAGACAAGAAGAGATTGATGGCTAAATAAGGACGGAGTAAGATTGAAGGTTGGGACGGGAAGTATATGAATCCTGGTGTTGTTCTGTGGTTTCTCTCTCCGCAGGGTTCAAACCCTGTGATCCTGGATTGGAGAAACTACTGGTTAAAGGTTCAACACACCCGGAGATTCATGCAAAAAAAGGTAAACTTAACCGTCATGTTTCGATAAAAGTTTGTGGTTGGGGGACAAGGGGGTGGGATGAAGAGGGAGTGCAGGGGGTGGG